GCCTGCCTACTCAGTCCCTTATTCTCAGGACAGAGATCACCTGTGGAGTGGAACTGGAAGGGGGTGGGGGTGGAGAAAGGTGCCTAAAGACTGTGGTGCTTCTGGGAGAGAAGGACTGTGGCAGACTGGGGAGTAAGGACAAACAGACAAGAGCTGGAAAGGAGCTGGGGGAAAGCAAGAGACAAGGAGACTTGAGACGTTATTTAAACTAATGAACATTGCAAGAATGGGAGGAGAAAGGAAAAACCATTTTCTTTGCCTTATGTGTGCTTCAAAGAGCATGTGCATCTCAACCAGAGCCAGAGAACCGGGTACTTTTACATTGCTTTTTCTAGTAGGAGGGGGAAAATGCTCAACCTCAATCTGAATATCCCAGTAGAGATGTTATTTTAGATCATTTGGTGCTTTTTGGTTACAAAAATTATGTAAACATCAAGTGCGGAACATATTTTATGAACCTGGTCCAGAATGAGGAAGATCTGAATGAACTTCTTAGGTGCTGAAAGACATTTGTATAGAATAAAAGCAGTGTATAATTTATCCTCCATATGAAAAGAGCAGGATTCAGCAACGCCTTGCTCGTGGGCGAGAGGGTTACTGTAGAAACCATGTGGACTGACCAACTTCCAGAAACATCGTGCCCAGAGAGCATCATATGTGAAGATTGCGTGTAAATCATAAGGTACCACAACCCTTTTGTTTCCTCAATTAACAGATTCATGTTCCTGTTTTAAGACACTCAAGCTGATTAGTACTAGTTTAAAAGGAAATTACAACGCAACATTGCTTCTAAGAAAAAAATCTACGCAGATCTAATCTGTATAGATATAATCTGTTATGCATTAATGACAGCTGGGAGTTAATGATACAGATAAATCCATGTTATAAATTTTGGCGTTTGAATTTAGTGGGGATATTGGATGACTACTCATTTGTGCAAAAAGTTAAAGCGCAAAGTTTCATGAGGAAAAATATTTAAGAGTGGTGACCAAGAAGGAGCAAACAATTTCCAAAAGTTTTATAATAAGGACAGGAAAAGTATGCAGAGGAGGTTTAAGTTTAGGCACCTTTAAGAATGAAAGCACTGCCCAGCTTGACTGCAAGGTGTTTAGAGCTGTGAAATTAGATGCACTTGGGGGAGACTGTGAAAGAGGATGAAGAGATTTTTTTTCTTCTTTAAAGAAGTGTATAGTTAATATTTTTGTTAGGGCATTTTATTATAGGGACATTTTATGGAGTTAATTGAAACCACATTTAAGACCACACACTGGAAAATTATTTAGAGACACTTCCTTTAATTGTCTGGGACAGCATTAGCTGAAAGTGTGTTGGTAATTTTACCTTAGTAAAAATGAAACCTTTTCTTAATGACAAATTACATGAATATCCATATAGGTTTTTGTTTGTTTTCATGTATATATATATGGGTATGAAGCAGACAGCAGTCTTTTTTCTAATAAATAATATAACTTGAATTATTTGTAGAATAATTGAAATATGGTCTCAAAGGTGTTTTTAACCCTTATTAATGCATATACACTTCTTAATGATTGAATAGTAAGGTCGGGCACTTGTGTTGTATTGCAAAACAATATTTGAGGAGATTCATCTCTTCCCAGATGTCGGGCAGTTTGTAATTCAGTTGTGTTTGATAAGGGATCTTATAGTTCTTGAGGTGTTTTAGTGTTTAGCCTTCCTGGCACTTAGAGGTAGTATCTGGAATGAGGGAACTGAAACCAGGCAGCCTTGGGTCCTGTTCCTGAGGTTAGTGAAGAAGTGCTCCTTACAATTATTATCACCAGGAGAGTTCAACCACAAAGCAGCCTCTGGATTGTACTCGACCTTGTGTTTTGTGCAAGTGATTAGAAGAAGCTCCCCACCCATGTTGTTAAAGTAGATTCCCTGGGATTCTTTGAGAGCTCCTTGGATGTCCTAAACGTGCAAGATGGACTGTGTGGCTCCCCTCTCCTTTGTGACCATGCCAATGTTCATATTTAGGTTTCAGAGTTAAAATCGAAAAACCAACAGGACTCACACTCTATCCACTACAAAAATTATTTTCGTGTCCTTCCACTTTCATGGAATATCAACCACTACGGAGTGCTTGTTTCTGTTACCCTGATGAGGGCTTGTGTGTGCCAAAGGCAAAGTACTGATAAGTGCTTATAAGTACATTATTTTTAGAGTGGAGAAAGTGTGTGCCTGATTGAGTTTGCTCCTTTAATGTATTTTTACTGGATAGCACCTCGATAATTTTGGGTATGCATTCTTTTTCTTTGGTTTGGGCATGAACTCACATCCCCCAAGGCATCTTAAAAAGTAATGAACAGTTTTGCTGTTCAAAGAACACCATGATAAAAACATATTCTTTGCAGTACCGGTAGTTCTTGATCCATCAGTCAAAACAGTCTAGGACTAGCAATGATGACTTCATGAACTTAACTCCGAAGCTGATGCATGTATGTTCCAAGTGACTGTGCTCTTGGAGTCCCTCTGGCTGGCAGTGATGGGAAAATGTCTCCACTGAGCAATGGAGATGTGAAAGGGGACGATACTACTGGAGAATTTGTAGACAAATTTGGACAAATTCAGGCCATGCTACAGGCCACAGTAGACCATTCTGAAATCAGATACTTGGCTGGTGACGAACCACCCAGAGCCAGGGGGATCAGAAGGAGCTGAGCCTGTCATGCATTAAGAGACACATTCTTGCTTTGCCACACAGTTAAATTCCTTCCCTCACTCACCTGTGATAAACACGCGCCACCCACTCCAGGAGCAGGAAGATCTCGGACACTTGCAGGCTCCTGCCCAGCGCCTGCTGCAGCTGCTGGAAGATGTGCTTGTTGTAGCTCTTGACGATGCAGCCCAGCAGCCTGGCGGGCTTGAGGCAGGGAGCAAGCTGGAGCAGCTCAGACAGCACAGTGACCTGGACCTCCCTTAGGTAGGCCTGCAGTGTCCTTCCCGAGTCTGGGCTGGGCAGCTGAGGGATATTCCTGGATACCGACTTCTCCACCAGCTGGTGGAACTGTTGGCGCCAGTTCACTGGAGCATAACTTGGTCCTTTCCCCTGCTGGTCCAGGCAGCACTTTTGACCCCAGAGGATAGCCTCAACAGCAGCTGGCATCCTCTCCAGGCAAGCTGGGTTGCCGGACAGCGCTTCAGCCAGAATGCCAAGCACCTGGCAGCTGACGGCCCCGTACAGCTGGGTGGCTGGTGCGTGCCCTGCCCTCTCTGCCTCCTGGATACAGACACACGCCTCGACCAGCCTGCCGTCCCACAGACAAGCCTGCACCTGGGCCTCCACTGCAGAGACGCACACAGGACATAACGCTCATCACTATGGGATGTAAAGACACAGTAGAGTCTTTGTTTTCCCCACTATTTGAAAAATAAAATAAACCGCCAACTTAAACAATGAAAAAACTCTGGCAGTAAAACTCCAATCTGTCAATACATATATCTTAATATGCCACATATCTGAGACAGGCTGCATTTCAGTCTTTCTCTGTATGTTTTTTAGATAAGCATGTAGGAACATGAGTGTAGTATAGTGAGTTGACATCGCGAGACAACAGAACGGGAGAGTAGAAGGTGGGGATATATGGTGTAAGGGCGTGATCTGTGTAGTTCATAAAATAGTTAAAATAATATAAGAACGTCTCGTTATTAAGATACACAACAATGAGTATGAGCAGAGGATGAACACCAGGCTAATAATTCACGTTTGGATAGTACTACCCTTCTGTTCAGCGTGCTGGCTGGGGTGGTATTGCAGCAGGCAACAAGCAATCAGACTCACTGCTAATGATTCCACCTGTAGATGCACTGCCAGGCGCAGTGTCTGTGACCCAATGACCTAACAGTTTGTCATGAAGTAAAGTGACAGAAGATGTTTTCTTGTTATTTAGACAGCTCTCTGGTTACTTTTAAATTGCTGTACAGGTGAAAAATAGCTATATATTCACTATAAACTACATAGGTGCACTATATTCCAAATATAAAGTACACACGATATCAAGTATTGAAGACTGAGCCATTGAACAGCAGACCTTACCGTCAGAGGGCTGCTGGGCTGTGCTCTCTCCCAGTGGCAGCAGGGGGTCCGTCTCCTCCCTGCCACTGGGGTCTCTCTTTCCCCTGACGCGTTTCACAAACATCTTCACCTGCTCCCTCAGAGCGCATCTCTTCTTTCCGCGGCCGCTCAGAGAGCCGAGCCCCATGTTCCTCTCCGCCTGCGGGCTCCGGAGACTATAGCAAGTCCGAAAAAAAAAGCAGAAATAAAGACGGAGCTCAACAGCTGATTCTTGTGCTATCTCTGGGAGAGAGTTTCCTGTGACGCCGCTCTCAGCAAATGCGGTTTGTTGAAGAGACCAGACAGCCAGGATGTGAGTCTCCCAGGACTGCCTTAATAGTGGGGAAGAGCAAAGTGAAACGAATCCTTATAATACCTCCTCCTCAAGGTAAACCACATGGCTCTGGAAGTTTGGGGGGTATTTCCTCTCACTTCTTTCACTGCCAAAAACATCAGCTCTGACTTCTATTCGTTTCAGATTTCTTTTCCTGGTTCCTTTGTGCCCCTTGCTATGAGCTCACGGACCCATGTCACTGTCTGTTGCGTGTCCTCTGTAGCGCTTGCGTTGCAACAAAACCTAACGTGATCAGATCACGACGTTCCCTGAAGAGAAAGACCTCCGCCATCTCCTGTGCTGTACAGGTTTCTTTTGTTGTAACTGCAAACCTCACAAACAATTTGCAGCAAACGCTGGCTCAACGCAAAAAAAGTCTGCGAACCCACCCCAGCAAGAGCAAAAACCGATGCATACTTCAAATTTACAGCCGTGCCTTTGAAACCACCTTTACTGCTTGGAGACAAGGGGTGAGCTGTGTCACCCCTTTTGTCCAATAGCAAATTATATTCAGGCCAGCAGAATCCCAGCAGAGACACTTTGCACTTCACAGTCCGGCTGGTTGCTAAACAAAGTTCTTATTAACAATGAGAAACACAGAGGAGCTAAGCCATCTTTTATTTAATTAGGTCATGTTACGCCACGGCCAGATGGGAAATAGCCGGCAGCGTTTTGAGGAACAAAGGGATCACTTTGTGTGCTTCAGGCTAGCTTATTGCAAAGGTACAAAAAGAAACACAAAAGAGGGGAGGTCTGAAGGAAACTCCCAGGCCAGGACGGACAGAAGACCCGGGAAGAGCAGGCAGAGGCTGCTGGAGCCGCAGGTGACTGGAAGCTGAAGCAGGGCCCCCAGGAAACAGAGCACATGGGTCAGGACAGAGCTGATGCGCGGCTTCAATACCGCGCTGCTCAGGGTTGACTCAGGGTTAACGGGTGGCAGGCGGCTGGGGCAGGGTGAATGTCGAGCTCCCCGTACGAATGTGACTGGTCTCCAGGGAGACCGCGGCCGGAGAGCCCAGGTCTAACAGGTAGGTCATGTGAGCATGAATTCTCATTTGCAATGACAACGGCGAGAGTTCTCACTTGTGCCGCAAGAGCATTTACTGGGGCCTTTTGAGTGACGTACCTTCAATGGTACAACAACAATGTCCCACCTGGGAATTCCCAAACCGCTCCCCCAGCTCCTAACTCTCCCTGCACTCTGCCGCCCTGTTTGTTATACAACGGTCATCGTCTAAAATTCATAGGCAACGGACTGATAAAAGGGAGCGTAGGCCACTCACTGGGCCAGAGCTCTTCCTGGTCTCTGTAGTGGTGACTGACTGAAGAGCACATGGGCTCCCCCCCACTGGGATGGGATGCGTGTTCAGCGCAGGCATGACCCCCCCCCGCAGCAATGCCTGACCCCACTGATACGGCTGGGTGGATGGACTGGAGCAACTGGGGTAAAGTACCTCACTTGGGGTACAACAGCAGTGTCTGCAGTGAGCATTCAAACCCAAAACGTGTTGGTTTTGAGCCCAAAGGCTAACTGCAGGCGAACACCTTCACCAGAGGCTCTCTACCAACTCCACTATTGTTCGCCCGCTGGTGAGTTACCTGAAGATGCCTGTGGTATTAGTGTTAGAAAGAAAAGAGTCCAAACCTTGTTTAAATTCTATTTTAAAAATCCAGCAGAGGTTAGAATGATTGGATTCATTTAAAACTGTTAATTGTAAGTACTTTATAATTTGTAGAATGCATAATTCCTGGCAGCTGTGTTTTACTTTGTTATTAAATGGGAATTCTTTTTCTTTGCTATGGCAGATGCTTTACTAACTAGCCTGTTGATGAGATATTCTGTAACGGTTTGCTGGACACACACGGGCTGTGGTTCAAGTTGCTTTCCCATTGGCTGTGCTCCAGCTGTCCTCTGCAGAGGGACGGAGGCTGACCGGACGTCTCTGCCCCTGCTCTGTGGACAGAATTTTCATGCTGCCAGTATGCTGTGCCCTGGCTGGGGCTCAGTCAACCCTTACAGGATCTTAGAAGGAGATGATTTGAAACAGAAAGAGGCTGAGATTTGTCTCGGCAAAATGCGCTCGAGCAGATTTAATAATGCAGCAGAGAATTAGGCTGCAGGCTAGTGACACTCTCTTCCCAAACAATGACACAGCAATTTCTTTAATCCTCTAACGCTGGAAGGATTTTTTTTTTTCAAAATGGGGGATTTTATCCTTTCGCTTTCAGTAAAGGTCGTGAAACACACCTCAGGAAAAATGTATTCTGCAACAGATGTGCAGTTAGGTGCTTTTCCCTTTTTACTGAGCCCACAAGATCAGCTTTCTAAGATCTGAGCCAATAATTTTCTAGTGCAGTGAAGTCCTAGAAATTCCCTGAATGGGTGGGAGACTCAGGGAGGCAATGGGACGCAGATTAGGATACAGGTTAGCAACCAACATGAGCAATAAAAAACTTTCAAGGAAAAAATGCATTGCTCCTAACCTAACGCCACAAAATGTAATGAGCTCACTCTTTCCTTTTTACCATCTGGAAACTCCGTAATTAAGCAACAGATGTTTTTGTTTTGGTATTTCTTTATTCAATCAAAAACCCCAACCCAGAGGATGAGGTGTCACAATAAGAATAAAAAAGGTATCAAAGGAATGCAATTTTTTTAAAATCTGGAACTGTTTCATTTAGAAACTAAAAAAGTGTTTCAAAAAGAAAAGTGGGAATCACCATAAGAAGTCACTAAATAATAACTAGTTTAAAATAAGCTGTATGGAAACCATCAGAACGCAAGCAACATCTTGTAAACAGTGTTAATAAATGTAAACAAAGGGATGTTATCTTAAAATGACAAATTCTATAGCTAATTTAAAATATTATGTTAAGGTTTGGTCGCCACGTCACAAAAAAAGGATCATGCTGACAGAGAAGATTGACCAGAGCATTATAGGAATGTTCCACTTTGACAGGCTAATTAGGACTGAATCTTTTTAATCTTGAGAAAAGGAGCACGAGGCTGTCTGTTGTTTTCTGTTAATGGCCAGGATAATGGCTAGCACTAAAATCCTCAAGGCTCTTGAAATGGGAAACACGCACATTGAGACATTTGGCTAGGGTTGAGTCTGTGAGGTTTGGCCTTGTCACATCGCCAAGGTGCACTTTAGTGTCCTGCTAGCAGAGGCCACTCTAATTGTAGTGTTCTCCCAGCCAAGTCGGAACTGTGGTGGCTCAGATGGCAAGGAAGTCCAGCTGCTGACTAGAAAGTCCTGGGTTCAAGCCCAGGTAGGAGCTTGCTCTGATTCCGTCCAGATTTCTCCCAGGTCCACTCAGCCTGCTTTCCAAGTGAGTACTGGGGTTAATCCTTCTGGGGGTAACAGGCTGACCACCTCACCTCCAGTGTTGGATGGTTGAGAGAAATGGTGGCCCCCATTCCCCCATGGGGCTTTATGGCCTGAAAAGGGACCTTCCTACCAAGCCCAGTTGAAGCATGGACAGGACACATACCACCTGATCCTTGTGCACTCAGCAGTGGCAGACTAGGAAACAAACACCAGTTCTTCAAATCCCCCGGTTATTCTGTCTTTAAAGTGCACCTGCAGTCTGCCTCTACAGTACATATATGCAGCTAATTTAAAACAGTATTTAAAAGGGAACTGCAGTTCCCTTTTATTATTATTATTTAATAATAATATTAAATCTCGGTAACAGAATAAATATATTGATGTCTATAAGACATTTTGTTGCCTCATTCTGGAATGCACAACATGGAGCTGCATATACCTGTTCATCTATTTTGTGATGTAAAGTGGAGGTTTTACAAGTTACTGTAAAAGTTATCTTACTTTTATTGTGGTTTGAAATGCACTAATCAATGCTCATGCGTTCCTGCCTAATCAAAACACAATTACAATTTCTTGAGTGCATGCTGCCTAGGGAAACTCTGAAATCTTTTCTATTGCAATGCAAAAGAAGGAATCTTTGGTGGCTGCCATTCAGGAGCCCTGTGCACATGCCATTGAATTGCAGCAGATGGTTTTCTGAACAGCATCACGCCAGGCTGCAGGCATCACACCTGCATGGAGCTTTGTGCATTGCCACTGTCAGCAAACAGACAATTGCACCAATAATCCAGCCACTGCATTTCCATTCAGAGTTGCATTGCTCTCCATTTTGCTGAAACATTGCAAAATAAAGTTACCAGAACCCTATTGTCTCACCAGCTGATAACATGCCTAGAGCTTTCAGGCCACATGCTGACCTCAATTCTGTCGGCAGTCCCAATATTTGAAGTTTTTACAAGCGCTGACCCAGTTAGTCAAGTATTGGATTGAACAGCAATTTAACAGCAGCAAACACCTGTCGCATTGATCATGTTAGGATTATGTTTATTCAGCAATCACTTTTATTGCATTTCTCACTGAATGTGTCCTTGCTCCTTGCATAAGGGAAACAGGCAAAAGACAGGCTGTCTGAGGTGAGCACATCAGAGCAGTTAGGTAATTGAAGCTTTATTGAAATAATTAAATATATATATACAGATGATAATACCATGCAAAATTATTACCTTAGAATTGCTTACAATTTAATTTACACAGTTACCTTATTTGGCAATGAGATACTGGTTTTGATATCAAAATGATTTCATATCTCAGACACGTGAGGATGTGTTTTACAAACATTTCATTTGATTACCTTTGCCCTTGTCCACCATACTTTCTGTATAATGTTACATCATCATCACCCAATACAGGCTTTTTTTAGGTCAGTGTGAATTTCTCATGAAAAAATCCCATAAACCAATTTTTGCCACATGTCTATAATGTCAACGCCAAGTCCAATCTCTTTCAGTTTAGTTTGTAAAATTTGACCAGCGCATGCTGGCCGATCTGTTTGTGTCCCACCACAGGGGGTCAGACAAAGACATCGGAGGCCCACCTTGGCCTCAGATTTGGTCATTCCCACCCCCACAGATCTCAATGATGGCCAGATCCTATTATAACCTTTTCAGTTCCAAAGTGCTGCCTTGACCACACCACCCACTGGGATTGATCTCCCACTCTCCCTCGTTTCACTGACATTCTTATCGTTTCTTTTTTCCCTGCTCCGACTTCATTCGTATTAAAAACATAACAAAGGTTACGAACGAGAGGAGACCCTTCAGGTGACCTAGCAGCTCATTGATACAAGGATTGCCTCCAGTTGCCTCTGGAAAGAAGCCAGGTTAGTGTCTTCAACAAGCTGGAGAACTTGTTCCATACCTCCACAACTCTTTGGGTAAAAAAGAGCCTCCAGTTGTCATGTGAAGGGCATTTCCCCATAGTTTCAATTATGACCAAATGTGGAGTAATACCAAACTGTTAGACGTTCAGTTGTGAAACACAAACCTGCTTCTCCTTAAGCAATTATTCTTAACACAGGGCTGGACTATCATTTAAAAAACTAAGGTCCAACGATGAGCTGTAAGAAGGTCAGCTGTTAGACATGAGATTCAAACCTTTCCCTCCCTGTGGGATTATACTTATTCCCTCTCTTCTTTCTACACCTTGATGTGTGTTTCACTGATTTTTACTTTTTAGAGTGGAATTAACTTGTACGCGTTCCCAAAACAAATACAAGCATACTACTTCAGCACGCAGCAGAATGGAGGAACAATAATGTAAACAAAATAAGTAAGAAATGATTCACCAGATATTCACAGGCACAATGAACAGACTATGGAAAAGACAGCTTTTAAGAAGAGGCTGGGACTTCACTTTTACTATTACGTAATTTCCCTTTCTTCTCTAGCAATTACAATTATTTCCCTTAATCACCCAAAGATCTATTTACCCCTCTTCTAGAAAAAGGAGAGTTTCCCTAATTAGTCGGTCATACAGGAATATAACGTCTGTCAGTTCAGGCCTGCTTGTGTCACTTCTCCTGGAAATCAGGAAAGATGACCAAGTGCCCTGTTTCCAAGACAACAGGTTCTGCGCTGAGCACGACACACTGCCATCTTGTGTTGGAAGGAGGCAATGACCAGCCTGGGTCCTCTCACATCCTTTAAATAAGAATATAAGCCTATAAAATAAGGCTGAGCAAAACTCTCCCTGGCTTTTCATGACAAAGGCAATTTCATGACAGAAACCTGTGTCAGCGGGTGATACTCCCGCTCTCCCCGCTGACTGTTCCCCACAGATCTGCGGACAAAGTCTTAACCGAATTAACGTCTAGTGACAAAAGTCGCATCTTGTATTGATTTTGTTCTTTGAAGTCTGTTGAAACCTGTGACAGGAAGGAGTGATGTGCTGTCACGCTGGCTGGAGCCTTTCAAGTGCAAAGATGTGTTATGAAGGCCAGTGTGTGAGGGTATGGTGTTTATGCAATTACTTCCAAAAGTCAAGCTGATGTTGTTCTGGCTGTAATGTCAGTTGAGGACTGTGACAGGAAGTATGGAAATGGTGTCATGCCTGCTGTTCGACCTTTAAGTTGAAGAATGCTTTACGTGGCATATGGATTCCCACTTCCCCTCCGGAGAGGGGGTGTGTTTCACTAAATGCGAAAAAGTGTTTTTCGCCTTTAGAAATACGAAACATTCTTGGTTCTTCCTTACAGAGCAACACAAGTGAATGCACGCATACAACACAAAATGCACCATCTCTTGATCAGACGGAAGACTAGACTTCATGGCTGTCTTCTCGTCAGACCGTTGTAGGAAGCCCCAGGTGTCTATACTGAAAACGCAGCGCCACCGGAGAGCCACCCGCTCTCGGACCTGTATCCCGGCGACTGCCACCTGTGGGGCTTGTGCGACAGTGAAACAGCACATGCACGAGTCTTGTTAAAACCAGCACTGCAGAGGTTCCGCACCTCTCAGGAGAAGCTGCAGAGTTGCGCCCCCTCACACCGCGCTAACTACAAAACAAACGCTCAGATCCCGAGTGAGTACAGCGACGGAGACGTTAGTGAAACCCACAGCTGTGTTTATGTATTACTTCTCTCGGTGTGGGGCTGAGACCTGATGCGGTGCTCCTCTCTTCAAATCAATGAGATGCAGTCGGCAAGGATACGCCCCACACACACCCAAGCCTCCAGCCACCCACGCCGGACTGATGAGCGAAACTTTCACAACGAACAGAGAAACAGAAGTGGAGGGCAGAAGTGGAAACGACTTGGAAGTGCATTAAAAACTGAGAACAGGGAGCCACTTCTTTACCCACAGAGTCGCAGGAGTGTGGAACAAGCTACCCACCCATGTCTATGAAGCCGATACCCTGATTCTTTCAAGACTAATATGCGGGAGGGGTGTCCGTCATTGTCGAAACGTCCGTTAAATCACGAATGACGTTTATGAACCCAACCACTCTACTACATGAATAATATATATATATTCTTTCTGGATCTTTCGACTTCAAGTCAGTCAATGAAAATTATTCATGTGCCTTTTTCATCATAAGCAAGCTCTTTATTTCATGTATCGCAAATATACTGTAGAAAATTCGCTGAAGAGCACGAAACAGAAACAGCACCCATAGGCAGCACTTAACCTACCGTTATATGAAAGTATCGATATTCCTGAATTTTAAACCTATGTAGTAGTTTTCATTTTGCTTTAAGAGGTGTGTATTTCATCGTTAATGTGGGGGGAGTCCAGTGTTTCTGATTTTGTAGCCAGTTCCCCTTGAGAGAATGTCGTCTGACATTAAGTCCGTTAAACTGGGGGTTAAATGTATTTCAGAACTAACTATACGTTAAGTTTGTAAACTAGGGGGTTTTGTTTTTTTTTCCCCAAGATGAACGATACACAGCCCCTTGTAATTGGATTAGGTTTTAAACGCAACTGGGAACAAGCCTCCATAAAGATCAGTACGGTACTGCTGAAGGGCATCATGCTCGTCTGCTGGGGTCATCCATGTTTTAATTGACCCATCGTTTTGTATTTGTTTTTTTGAAAAAGCTTCAGCGGTACAGAATTTGTTGAGCGTATGAATGTATTAATGCGTGAATTAAGACAGCTGCCCAGACCTTTGGTTTTCTCGAGTTAACAAAATAATGTTTGCCAGTTCGTCTCGTGACTGCTCTACATGACAACCGCTACTCACATCTAAGCAAAACATGTATAATAAGACATGCGATACTACATACAAAAATACCGCATTTAGAGAAGAAAGAGCGGATTTAGCGTGGTGATCGTAATACTCATATTGTGACAAAAGGCCCCCCAAAAAAACAAATTAGAAGATTAACGCGAGAAAACAGGAAACCAGCCCAAATCCCACCGGCGGCGTAAACAATATCGCGAGACTGTTAAGATTCACGAGCGCCGTGAGAACCCCCCGCCTCCACCCCTGTTGCGAAAGATATGGACAGGTACCGCCACCAATAATATCGCCGCTCTTCCCCGACGGGCCAATCGCCGGCGAGGAGAGGCGGGGTTGCGTCGACGCGATGGCTGGATTGACAGCGTCATTACTGGCCGAATATCATTCTGGCGACGCGCAGCTCGAGCGAGAACGTTCTAGAGAGGTAAGTGAGCGAAGGGGTTAGAGGACGCTCTAATTGGTGTGAATAAGGCCAAATAATAAATTAAGGGGGTAATAAGACCTTCTATGGGGATCGCCGAATTGCCATTTACGCCTCATGAGGGAGCGTTGTTTAAGCTTGAAGGCTTGTCTTTTGTAGCCTATCGAAACGTGTGGTTACGCAAGTAATCGAATCCGCTCTACAATTAACGCCGATCTGTTTTCCTAACCCCCTCACCCTGCCCATTGTTTCCAGATACCCCATTTTTGAGGGCGTCTCGTGTTTCCCCGAAGGGTTTTATTACTCTGCACCGGAAAACTCTTGCCTCTCCATTACCGGCACCGTCGTCGTGCCGTCCTCGCTTTCTCCAGTACTCAGCCGACCCCCCCCAGCTCCCAGCACGAACACTTCACTGCGTCTCAGGGCGACCAGCGGTGTGTTTATGTCTTTATTTTACGAAAACGGTGAGTACCCGGACGACAGGAGCGACGGATGGGAAAGGTATCGTTTTCCATGTTTATTTTAACCCTTCTGTGTGTTGTTGTGCGTCTGGTTTCGTCCCGTGGTCGGTATTTGGTGTGGTTGCGCTGGAAAATGTGGCGTGCGTGTGTTCAAAATGGCGTCTCCCCCTTGCACCGTGCTCCCCGTGATAAAATTAGTGTGACGCACTCTGCACCATTTCGCACAATTAGGTGGCCTGTTGTGACTAACCTCTTCTTCTTTAATTAACGGCAGCCTGTACCGCTGCTACCAATCGTTTTTTGTGCCGTTTAACTTGGAGACGCGGATATAAAGCGATGTGCGGTTTCAAAAGTCACCGTGCCCCCCCTCTCTGTCCGTTTGTGTCGCTGTCTGTTTCGCTTCGCCCTTTTTAACTTTTGGGTTGCAATGATGAGTCATCATTTGGAAATACCACCGCTTCAAGGACGATAAGGTTTGACCTACTTTTCAGAAAGTAATACAAATTGTATTCGCTGCGCAAAACCATTACACTCCCAGGAGTATTTTTCATTCGTTGTATTTGAAGGCGTTCCGCTTGCTTTGAGCTGCGGTATTAAAATAATGAAATCAATGTATAGATCGACGTGTTACGTTTTCCGTTTTGCTCTACAGTTTTACGCTGATATAATCTAGTACGTTTGTGACCTCTGTGGCGAAAAAGACATTCATGATAAACGTTAGATGGATTCACAGCGTCACCTGTTATTTGCTTAGTAGCAGCAGCTCCTACCCAGAGGGGCTTGCAAAGCAGTCACAAAATCGATACGGAATTAAAATGCAGTAGGAAAAACACTTCAGGAAGATACACAAGACAAAACTGGGTGAGCACGCGTTCAGACGTGCGGTGCAGGGGGGGGGGGGCGTTTTAAAGTTTGGGGAGGTGTGAACTCCCCGACCTTTTAATCTTTAAAATGTCTTGGCCAGTGTCCTTCAGAGATAGTGGATTTAGCAGCACGTGGGAGGCAATGTAGTTCGGTTTGCTTGTTTTAGTTTTCATATCGTGTGCATGTCGTGCATTGCTGGTGTTCTGACTTGCAACCAAAATGTATTTACATGCTAAAGTTGCTGTACCCCAGAATTAAATTGTTTTTTTTTTTGTTGTACAGTCAGTGTTTCTGTTTAAGCCATTTTCTTAAATGGTATAGTCAGTGTTTCTGTTTAAGCCTATTTTTGAGTGGGGCTGTCCCTAATGAGTCTTTATTCTGTTTTTCAGAGCTGTTGCGCAGCTGTTGGAACCTGTGTGGGGGAAACTTAGCCTACAAGCAAGGAGCTTGCAGCCTCAGTGGCGAAAACTTTTTCATGTCAGAGACCGAGTACACTTACAGTCGTTTATGTCATCCACTCTTCTCCAGACAGAAGATACCAAAAAATTGCAATCCAAGATCTTCTTATCTTGTTGATAAAGCTAATAGCGAGCCAAAATGTCTGTCAACGTCAACCGCAGCGTTTCAGACCAGTTCTATCGCTACAAGATGCCCCGTCTGATTGCCAAGGTGAGGAGGGGCACAGTGGGCTCATTTGACTGAGGGAGAGCTTGGCAGCTTCTTCTAGTGTTGTGAATGACTCAGGACTGCAGTGTTGTTTTGTTCTCAGTAGAAGACTCCTGGCTTTCAGAACTAAAGCCAGATTCATAGCTCCTTAAATTAACCAACTGTATAGAGGAATGCTAAGTAACTGCCTTTCCTGCTCATGTGACTTAGTTGGTTAAATAATCCTTTTGGATGGGGGAACTTTATTGCATACCCTCTGTGTCCGCTGAGTTTAGTTTTAGCATTTTTAAGGTGGTTGGGATTTGGAACTAGCAGTTTCCCATCCTAGCAACTTTAAAAATGTAGATTGTCATTTAGGCACTTTATATCCTACTGACATTTTACAGCTGTCTTAGAAGTGTGAATTGATTATTTTTGTGAATTGCAGTCAATAATCTTTTTTTAATGTCTCCCTTCTCTAAACAGGTGGAAGGCAAAGGGAATGGAATTAAGACGGTTATAGTCAACATGGTTGACGTTGCAAAGGCACTTAATCGGCCTCCAACGTGTAAGTTCTAGCCTTGTATCCTTGCAGGGGTATTTTTGACTGACTTTTGTTAACTTAGTAATGGTAATCTGAATGCCTGTTAAACAGTATTTAAAGTTGATTCCTATTGGAAAGAAGCAGCATTTGGGGTAGGGGGGGTAGTGCTGGGTTGCTTTCATTACATTCCACTTGCTTCAGTTGTACGTTTTACTCCATTTTAGATCCCACCAAGTTTTTTGGTTGTGAGCTGGGAGCACAGACCCAGTTTGATGCTAAGAATGACCGCTACATTGTCAATGGATCTCATGAGGCGAATAAGCTGCAAGATATGCTGGATGGATTCATCCGAAAATTTGTGCTGTGTCCAGAGTGTGACAATCCGGAAACTGACCTGGTAAGTGCATTTTTCCTCTTTTTTTTTTTTGAAATCTTGAAAGACCTTCTGTTGCCAAAGCCCAAATTTGCCTTGACTTGTAACTAATAATGGGGTTTTGCTTATAATCCACTGACTGTCTTATGGAGAGGGGTAAACTCCACTGCAGTTTCCTAATTGTATTGAAGTGTTTAAAAGTTCTTCAGAATTCAAGGCCGCTGTCCTTTTGTTGTCTTTCCTCCTATACACACAAAACCTGTAGCCTTTAATATACAGGGTTTAGGCTGGGCAGATTTGGTAGTAATGGAAGCACTCTCCTGGTGTCTGAATTTGAGACCTGCAGTATCCGTTTTCCACTGCAGAGTTAGCCTCTTTTTTTTTTTTTTTTGCATAACCCTACTGCATTGCAGTTATGTTGAGCTCCCCAGACTTAGACTATCTAGGGCAGTTCTGTTTACCTCCTTTGTGGAAGATGTAGAGCACAATGCAGTTAAGTTTGCTACTTCAGTTCAGTTCCTATGTTACCCCTGATATTTCATAAGCATTTTAAAACTGTCAGGGTTGGTCTTTTGTTATGCTTTACTGGTGCTTTGGAGCAGTTGGCCTAGCTTAAGTGTTTTGTGGAAGCTGAATACCTAATGCATGACTTGTTTAAAACCAAAATGACTGTCTGCTTTGTGACTTAAACAAAGGTACATGTGTAACTAGCTGTCTTGTATGTGTATATTATTCCTCTGTGAATGTTTTTAATTTGGGATTTCTTCTTTACCTTGGTAGCATGTCAATCCTAAGAAACAAACCATTGGCAACTCTTGCAAAGCCTGTGGCTACCGGGGCATGCTTGACACACGACACAAACTCTGCACGTTCATTCTTAAAAACCCACCAGGTGAGTGACAACCCACTTAATGGTTTTTGTAGCTTAAACACATTTACATTAGCTCTTGATTGCATTTGGTGTTCAGGCCACCAATAGATGTATGAATTTACCATGTTTTAAGAACATGCGAGGTTACAAATAAGGAGGTCATGCAGCGCATCTAGAATGTTTGGTTATTAATAATTGATCTCAGAATCTTCCTGCTGTTTCTTGACCGAAACATTGACCTTGTCTTTGTCAGCATGGCTAGATAGTTGCTTCCCAGATTCCTGCAGCTTTTTGCAAAAAAATTAACAGCATGCTTTTTACACTCCTGGTTGTGATACCAGCCAGATTTAAACCCATTTCTTAGTTGTAGTTTATCAATATCTGAAAATCTGTAGCCTTAATTTTAGTGATATAATTTGTTAATGGTATGTTTGGATGTGTTCATTGTAATAACTTTTCCTCTGAAATGCAGAGAATGAGAGTGGATCCGCTAAAAAGGAGAAGAAGGAGAAGAATCGGAAAGGTAAAGACAAGGAAAATGGATCCAGCAGTGGAGAAGCTGGGAATCATAATGAGATAGATGCACCTGATGCCGTAGTAAGTACATAATTGCTGCCTTGGACTTTTGTGTCCTGTTCTTATTCGTTAGTTTAAAAAGTGCTTTAGAAGAAACAAATTGAAGCCAGGTGTAATGGAAGGTAACTGCTGCTTGAAATTCCATTCATTCAGATAGAGCTTGGCCTTCATTTTTCTTCACCCAACCCAAAGGATTTACGGTCTTTTGATTTCATCCAGCAACGTATTTCCAATTGAATGTTTAGTTATGAAAGTACAACTCTGACTGTATAGTCTTCTTGTAAAAACTTGTGAAAGTATGTCTGTAGTTCTGTGTACAGGATTCAAATTGATGAGCTGTCAAAACATGCATCAAGTCTTGTGAGTTTCTAGCTCTTTCATTCACTGAATTTTGCACTTGTACAGGATGGAGATGACGACGATGACTGGGGTGAGGAGACCACAGAGGAAGCTCAGAGACGCAGGATGGATGAGATCAGCGAGCATGCCAAGAACCTGACTCTCACTGACGACTTGGAAAAGACCCTGGAGGAAAGAGTCAACATGTTTTACAACTTTGTCAAGGTGTGTTGATCAGCATGTTTGTTCAAGAGCAAAACAATTACATAGCCTTATTATGAGTACTGTAAACTGTTGGTTTTAGATGAATGTTTCTGTTGATCCTAGAAATTGTGGTACTATAGGAAGTGAAGTTTTAAATTTTATCCAGGGCATAAAGTACCATTTTTGATTTTAGAAAGTTTGTTTTTTTCTGGCAGCTCTGATTCTGATAGCAGTTAGAGGAGAAGCTGAGATATTTGGATTTTACACGTCCCTCCGATAACTACTAGTACCGATAACATGAAAATGATTTCTATTGCTTCTAGTTTACAAAATGGATTTAGTATTTTGTCTCCAAAATGATGCATGAATTCATTTTTTTTTGCAGCAAAAAAAGGAGGGTGGAGTCATCGATACAGCAGACAAAGAAATACTTGCGGAAGCTGAGCGCCTGGATGTGAAGGCCATGGGCCCCTTAATCCTGAGCGAACTGCTGTTTGATGAGAATATCCGTGACCAGATCAAGAAGTACAAGCGCCACTTTCTGCGCGTTAGTATTGAGTTACGCCCAGATTGCTAGAGCTGTTGCCAGAGTGTTTATAAAACTGCTTTGTTAATGTGCACACAGTAAACTTTAATTTCCACTTTTTTTTTGTTTTTTAGTTTTGCCACAACAACAAGAAAGCACAGAAGTACCTGCTAGGTGGCTTTGAGTGCCTGGTGAAGCTGCACCAGGCCCAGCTGCTGCCCAGAGTCCCAATTGTGCTGAAGGACATGTATGATGCAGATCTTCTGGAGGAGGAGGTCATTCTTGCTTGGGCAGAGAAGGTACATTTAGCTGGATTTGCTTTGCAGTGGAAACTAGACCTGAAGCAAATATTTTGCATCCTTCTTTATAGACATTTTTCTATAAACTGTTTGGTGCACAGTTGAGATGATAACCTTAAAACTGGGCGTCTCTGAAATGGTATCTGGTGTAGGTAAGACTTGCAGACAGTTCTCATTTGTTTTGTAGTTTCATTCCCAGTAACATTGAAACCATGGTTACAGCAGCTGGGATTACCCATGGCTTGTACCCACCACTTGAGACGCAGCTGGAGGCTCTGTATCTGTTTACAATGTCTTAAGAAAAGCAACAATTATTTTTAATTTGATAAGAGTGATGGAGATGCCTCCAGCACCTTAACCTAATACAAAACAAGTTTCCTTTGAGAAACATGAGGGCCATAATACAGCACAGGCTTAGAAATGCTCATCGTACATGTAATAGTGTGTTGGTTGTTTGTAAATCTGTACAACTTGTTTTCTTTAGGTGTCCAAGAAATACGTTTCCAAGGAGCTTGCCAAAGAGATTCATGCCAGGGCTGCTCCATTTGTCAAGTGGCTGAAAGAGGCAGAGGAGGAGAGTGAGGGCTCCGAGGAGGAAGAGGAGGAGGAAGATGAAAACGTCGAGGTAGGCTTTGGTCAGCTGTCCTTTCCTACAAAGGACACGTGACTGGACAAATTCATGTTAAACTCTGTGCCCCGACTGGCTTGTCTGGATTGATGTTGGCTTCGCGTAATTTATTGTAGATGCTATTAAAGTAATCAGATCACAGTGTACAAATGCTGTATGTATAGTTCTTGTGCTTCTTTCTTTGGACCTTTGAAAGCAATATTTATGGTGACTAATACATTTCTTCCTGTTCAGGTGGTGTACTCCCCCTCTGCCAAAGAGCTGAAAGTGGAAACTGTGAAACCAGAAAAGCCTGACAACGAGGAAGATATTGATATTGATGCCATTTAAAGATGTTTGTGCTTTAATACAGAGCAAGCCTTCTTTCTTAGCTGCTGTGGCTTGGAAATCTGTTTAGTGCTTTGCTGATTACATTATTTAACATTAGTCTTGCTGGTGACTGAGATATAAAATTAAATTTCTTGGGGTAATGACCCTCTTGGTATTGGTTTTTAAATATTGGTATGGGGCACTGTAACTGCACATTGTCAATAAAGACCGTTTTGCTATTCGCAGTATTGTCTTAATTTCCTTGACTTTGATTTCAAAATGCTTACCTCCCGTGTTATTACAAGCTGTATTTGAGGCATTTTTAATTTTTCCCAACTCATGCATAAGCTTCCACTTTTACTAATTTGCTTTACACGGTGTATATGTAGTGTTTGGAGAAGCTACTTTAAACTTTTTCGGAAACCCAAGTTTTGTGATGCTCAAACTTCAGTAGGCATTTCTTTGACATTAACCTGACTACAGTACTGTGGTGCATATTGGGTATGAAAATATGAACAGAAGTTAATCCTCTAGCAAGCTAGTTTTTTTTTTGGTGATACTAATGGCAATAGATAAATGTGAATTGAAATCTGTTTTCTGCTCGTAAATATTGCAATTATGGGTTCAGTTTTATAACATTAGTATTGTGTAAACAATGTTCTTGTAAGGCTGATAAAATAGGTATTTGCTTTTATACCTTTTTGTAACTTTTAATATGCTAATACTGTGTACTCTTCATAAAATGGGTTTAGTGGAGCTGTGTGAAAATTGTGGGTTTGCTTAGGGTGATGAGTCATGGTTTTGTCCAGCTACTTGCAATTTACAGCCGCTAGGTGGAACCAATGCTTTGTTAGATAAAACCAGATAGTTTCAATTATATACAGAAGTAAAGAGGGCTTGAGTGTGGTCAAATGTAAACCGACCTTATTTGTAATATGGATGGGTTAAAATGAGTCCTATGTAAAAAATAATTTAAGCTTTACTAGTGCACAACTCATTTTTTTCCTACGTGTCTTATTAATTCAAATGAATTGTCTATGGCATCTGCTGAATTGTAAAGCTAGCCTTTGGCTGCTGACTCATACCTTTTCTCTTTCAGCTTAATACTGACAAGGGAGTGAACAGCAGTTTCTGAAACTGAAATACAAGGCGGCATCCTTGGAGAGTTCTGATCTAATCAATACCAGTTTCTCGTGATTCAGCATATACTCCCAAAACCTCCGTCCTTTGAGAAGTAGCAGCGTCGTCTGAACTGTTCAATGCTGACAATACCAATGTATGTAGATCGTGCTAATAGCTGAGTGAAGCAGTGCTTCGCTAGTCTTGCAGTATCAACAGGAATTCAGCCATTAACAAAATTAAATCATTTTACTGGGGTGTGTGTGGCCATGTAGGATTTGGAGCTGCTTTTGTAGGAGAGCAAATGTTCTTAACGGAGCACTTGTTTTGTGTAATTGGAAAGACGGCGTTAATCTTCATTTATAAGGCTGGACAGTCTAGGCTTTACATGTTTTCACAGCAACGCGTGAAGAACTGCTGTTTAAGATGGAAACCTTGACCTTTCTGGCTTGTACCTTTACCCAACCCCTTTGCTCTTTTTCTATCAGCACAGGCTAGGCCTCCTCGTGTTTCATGTTGGTTATTCTTAGGAGTTTAAAAGCACACTACACCTTGAACTCTTTCTGAGAAATCTACTAAAAACAAAATATCACCTGCACTTTTCCCTTTGCGTGTAATTTTCTGTCTATGCGAAACACTATTAGCTTAAGAAACGTGTTGCATGCAAAATAACATTATGGCAGTCACAGCTCATTGCAAATCCTTGAAATTCAAACCATGCTTATCAAGGATAACTTCCCAGTAATGCAACAAGGGATCTGGGTGTAGCTGAAACTAGTTACATGAATTATCCTTTTCACAGCTGGGGTGTTCTCTCCATTTGAGATTAAACAGTACTTTGACTCATTGAAATTTTACTTGATTTATACTCATAAAACTGTACTGTGTCCCCCCCCAAAAAAAATAGTTTACAGTAGTATTCTATTGTAGAAAACCAAAAGCAATGGTGGGTTAGTTCTTCATATTTACATGATTTTGGAAATTAGGCTTTAAAGAGTTGAATAGTCTCATTCATTTTAACATGAATGTGATGTTGAATCACTAGATGCTTTAATATTATTCATAGCAAGGCGTCAGTGGCACAGACAGTATGAGTCACTCCTTCTTCTGTCCACTTGTGGAAATTTTAACACCCAAGGCTAAAGTTCAGGTGAGTATTTTTCATCTCAAAGGTTTGTGTAAGTGGATGGTGCACATTGGTGGTGGTGGAGGGGAGTCCCCATTACCTGTGAAGCGCTCTGAGTGGAGTGTCCAGAAAAGAGCTATATAAGTGTAAGCATTTATTAGTATTAAGGTTTTTTAAATGATTGATACCTGATGGAGGACGCAATGCCCTTCTCCTATGATAGGGATTCCCAGTCGTGATTCTGGAGGAACATTGTCTGCAAGTTTTGCTCCAGCTGTGTTCTTCATCACAGACTAAATGGTTTCAGTCTCCTGTTCAGGGCAAATTTAAAAAAAAAAATTGCATTCAGCTCTTAAATGTTCAGATGGGATCTGTAATTGGTAGCAACCCCTTTACTAATTTCTGACTTTCAGAACTGCCCTCATCTTATGTGAGCTGCCTGAAATGTAGCCAATTGGCCCTCTGCAGAATATAAAAAGCTCTTTGCGGAAATAGGGGATAGTGTCATTCCCCACTGTCTGGGCACAACAAGTTAAACAGACAACTGAACAAGCAAGAAGATCAAATGATTATGTGCGAAATTAAAGCTGCAGTAGCAGAATTTAATGAAAGACAATTTCCACATGTGGGTTTGCCCTTTCCTTACAAATGGTTCTTGTGCGCCACTAGGGGGCACCGTGCTCACATATGTATGGTTATCCGAAGCCGAGGCGAAAAATACTCGTGAAATTGAAAGGAGGTCACCATTCAATGTAATTGATGTGTTAGCCAGGGCCACTCCTCGTTTTTCCTATCCACTGAACTACAGTTCTTTCTCCATGGTGTCACAGGTCTCGGGAGTGGAAGCCCAGCCCGTATGTGTTTCGTAATTTTTCGGTTCTCTTGTTTAGCAAAAAACAAAAGGCTCCCCACTGTACTTTTGAGGTGATTCATCCCTTAGCAGGTCTTACTCACCGGCGAGAAACTGTTCTCATTCTCTCTCTCTCTGTGTCTCTCTTTTGCTCTTCCTTTCAGTGTGAAAAAAGCCTCTGAGCCACACAGGAAATGTAGCGTGGGAGGAGTAGCGTATCCTATCCCCCCTTGAGAAACAGAAGGCAAGACAGAGAGAGCAAGAGAAGGTGGTTAAACACAAAAACTGCAGAGAATACTGCTGAACGCTGCACACGTTGAAGCCAGGACGTCACATTTCATTTTTTTAGTCTGCTTGTTAATAAGGAATTTCGCCATATTCCTCTGCAGTTTTTTCATAGTGCTAAAATGCCTCGCACATGAACATCTGAGCAGTTGTCTCCCGCAAGATGGTGATTCAGATATTCTCCCTAGATTGTTCTTTTTGGATTTGGGGTTTCTTTTCAGCTGAAAGTAAATTCTCCCCCGGGCACATCATGCTTTGCCGTGCAAAATACATTAGCCAGTGTGTGAAGAAAACATTGTTGTTCCAGGAGAGCCTCTTCTTCATCCCCTCACGAAGAGACTCCTGTTGTCATAGCAACCTCACATCTGGATGAAGCTGTGTGCACAGCCAGCTGTCTGATAAGAATGGAGCTGCAATGATGTTTTTCTTAATGGTTATCCCTGTCCAAGAGCTACCAGAACTGTACGGCACTCTGATAAGACTGATATTCTGTTCACAACAAGACTAGGAAACTTTTAGTGCCTGATTTGATCTTCTAGAAACATTTGTCATTTTTACCCAGAGACTGTATTCTTTTCACATTTTGCAAGGTGATCTATCCGTCTGCCTTTCCCTCCATTAATTAATTAGCTCTTGTCGTATGACAGTAAAAGGAATCATCTTAAAACGTCTAATTAAAACTTTTGTACTGTATACAGTGGTGTGAAAAAGTGTTTGCCCCCTTCCTGATTTCTTATTTTTTGTCACACTGAAATGTTTCAGATCATCAAACAAATTGAAATATTAGACAAAGATAACACAAGTAAACACAAAATGCAGTTTTTAAATGAATGTTTTTATTATTAAGGGGAAAAAAAAATCCAAACCTACATGGCCCTGTGTGAACAAGTGATTTCCCCCCCCTGTTAAAACATAAATCAACTGTGGTT